AGCGAAAATCAAAATCAACAAAAAACTATGAACCAGAGACACTTTTAGGGGGCGGGGGCGGGAGGGGAGGGATTGGGGTCAGAATGGGGGGGCTACAATTGTATGGGGAATATAAAAATAAAATTTATTATTTAAAAAAAAAAAAGAAAGCTCAGTGTTTTCCTCGTGGACGAGGACAGCCACCCACTAACGCAAAGATGTCCATGCTGTGAGTGGCGGCAGCACAGCCCCCGGGGCCAGGTTACCTGCTCTTTTATGTCACTCGTTTTTTGTCTGTGAAACTTCAGTTTAAAAGTTTGACCATATCAAACTTGCAGGTTTTTCCCTTTGCAATGTCCTCAGCCAGCCCCAGCCCGGGGAAGGAGGCAGTTCCTCACCCATGAGCCCACTGAGAAATCAGATGACTGGGGTCTGGAAAGGAGTTTTGAGGCACAGCTAATCCCAAAGCTTAAAAGTCACCTAATAAACTTAAAAGTAATATCGGGATCCCTACAAAGTTCAGTAAGCTGGCGGATGACAGGAATTTTTTTCTCAAACCTCAGAGGCACAATTGCCCCTAGACCCTGAGCTGCTGTCAACCCTTTGATGTTTACAATCAGGTGAGCCATGTGCACGCATGACAAAAGCGGGGCCTGCCCCACACCCACGGTGAACCTCACCTCCCTGTCCACACACTGGGCACAGAGCCCCTGCTTTCCTTTATATAAGCTGCATCTCCTCTGTACACATTCTGAAAAGGCACATTTCAGTCTTTGTAAAAGGTCATCACGCTATCTGCACCCCTCTGCCTCCCTCTCTTCTGTTCTATCGCTGAGCTGTGTCTGTACTGTCAGGCTGTTCGGAAGGAGCTGTTTAGACGGGCAGGCTGTTCACTAGGTCTGTTATTCCCACATATTAATATAGCACAGTATATTCCCTAGGGCAGGAACCCATAAACTTTCTAAAAAGGGCCCAAAGCTGGCAACTGTCTCCTGGGTAAAAGAACATTCCTATTTAAGAAACATACACGAGCTGTTTAGGAGTGGAGGGGGTCAAATAGATGGAAAAGAGTCATGTCTGTTTTTGTGTGATCTGTGTTCTGTGTTCAATTTTTATTTTTGCAACATTTTATGAGTATGAAATTTACTTTTAAAACCGAAAAATGGAACACACACACACACACACACCCCCTTGGGGAAAGGTGTGTCTTCACTCCTTGAGTGGAGGTGTGCTTTTGGTGGCTCCTCACTGCTGGCAGGTCACACACTCACAACTGCTTCAGATGTAATGGACCTTTCTAACCAGAGCACCTGCCTGGCAATCCCTGTGTCTGCCTGGAGGAAGGCTTCCCAGAGGCTACACTCACAGAAGGAAGGTCCAGCCCGATAGGCTCCTCGGAGGCGGCCCAGGAACCTCGCACCCAAGGGCAGCGTTCTCAGAGACGCTTCCAGGCAAGTCAGCCCAGAGTGAACTCAGCTTTACTACTGTAATTACTATGGTCAGGACGCTTCAGATCTTTGCAGGGTGCTGGCCTTTGTTAAAAAGAAAATAGTCAGCTCCAAATTTTTTTTTATTTGTTCATTTAATTAAGTATCCGTCAAGTGCCTATTCTGCTCTCAGTAACTTCTAGGCTCTGGGAAGCCGAAAGTGAAACTTTCCCATCCCTGGCTTGATCTTCTCTCTTATATGTAAGCCCTGGAGTCTAGTAGGTTTTTTGATTTTGTGGATTTTTACAAGTCCTGGCGTTTAATTCTGGAATACAGCAGCCTATTCTCCCCTCAAGAAATGTCAAAATAGGGGCCTCCCCGCTGGTGCAGCGGGTTGAGCGCAGCGCTGTGAAGCTGTCCGCAGCAGCCTCTGCAGCACGAGTTTGGTCCGTGGCCAGCCAGGGAGCTGCCCACTGGTGCAGCAGACCTCTTCTGTCTCGCCCGCTGCTCCCCTCAGCAGTGTATTTCAGTAGATCTGCCTGTTCTGCTCCCCACTCTGTCTCTGGTGGATCCTCTCACCAGAAAGGATTCTGGCCTGTACCCCAGCTATTGTATAAATAAAAAATAGACCTTTAAAAAAAAAAAGAAATGTCAAAATAATGACTTGAATATTGGTTTCAAAGTGGTGATTCTTTGAGTTCATAAAAAGTGAATCATTTAGGTTTGTTAAGTTACATCTTTTGTAACATTAGACTTAACAAATTCCTACCATTTTTGTACTATCAACTTGAAATTTTTAGTTTCAGTTATTTACTCATTTTACACTTCCCAAGTTTTTAGGAACTGAAAGAAACCAGCTTATAGAAAACAATGAGAGGTCTCAAAAATGCAAATTCACTTCTACTTGTGACCCAGAAAAAAGCAGCAAACTCAGATACCAGTTTATATTCTTTGAAAAGAACTGTCTCTTGGAGATTTGTACTCAGGTCTCTGTGAATGTGATGGAGTTGCTCCTCCCCTGTCGGGAGGGCTCACAGGTGAACAGATGCCCCAGAGAGGATCCTCACTGTGACAGTTTTCTGTGCCTCTGTACATTTTGGGGTCCCCACAAGGAACAATATGATATGCAGAGGGTACCCCAGTTATTATGGTTTGACTTACACCTACTAATTCCATCATGCTATAAAGCCACAGGCCTTCAGGGTTGCACCTTGAATTCTGAATTAGGGCGCTCTGCTGTTCAGTTTCAGTACAGTCTTCAATAAATTACAGAATATTCAACACTTTATAATAAAACAAGCTTTGCATCCGGTGATTTCACCCACTGTAGGCTAAGAATGTGTAAGTGTTCTGAGCAGACTAGGCCAAGCCATGATTTTGGGGTGGTTATGGTGTATTAAATGCATTTTTGACTTATAATACTTTCCACTTAAGATGGCCTATGGGGCGTAAGCCCATTTTAAGTTGAGAGCATCTGTATGTGTATGTGAGGTTTCACGTTTCAGGTTGACTAGATTGTGCAGTCTTTCTCTTGTCCTTACAGGGGAGGCAGCTACACACAGGGCTCCCCACCCCAGTCAGGGGATAGGGGTGCTGATGCACACCCCAGTGGCCTGATAAGGGTATTTCCCCTCCTGCCTTGATCTTGGGGAAAAAAATCAGGAATCTGAGAGTTCCAGAAGCTTCTCAAAGCCCTTTCCAGAATCACAACCAAACCCACACAACCTGGGGCCGCCCAAAATGTGTGACTGGAATACAAACACTACACAGCCAACCGGGCACAGGGCCGCACCACAGTACAGGGCAGGAATCATGCCCTGTGCCAGCCCCCAGACTACGGTGATTCGGTAAAGGCATCCTCCAGTGGGCTCACCCATTGTCACCTCCAGTGCACGGGGCGGGCGGGGGAGGGAGGGGGGTAGGCACAGCCTCTCTCACTTGCGTGCAAGTTCTGATAATGACACCACGTGGGACATACTCCCTGGCCCCGGTAGGGGAAGAGCCAACAGTGCTGCCCTCCTCTTGCGTGGCTGGTAGTGCCAAAGGGCTGGGACCCCTTCCAATTCCACCCTTCACACAGGGTTTACCATCAGCATGCACTTAGCAATCTATGCTGGAGGAAGCAATGACCTAAATTATAAATTGTTAAAATGCAGAATAAAAATTATCCCCTGTGGCGGTTAATTTTGTGTCAACTTGGCTATGCTATGGTATGATTCAGTTTGTGACCCAACACCATGATGCTGTGAAGGAACATGCGATGCGGTTAAGCACTTACACCAGCAAACTGAGTGAAGTCGATAACCCTCCATAATGTGAGTGGGCCTCATGCGAACAGTTGAAGGCCTTATGAGAAAACAGACTGAGGACTTCCAGCCGGAAGGGGCTCTGCCTTCATTCTTCCCTGGGCGTCCAGCCCGTCTACTCTGAATTCAGACTTAGCAGCCTCCTCTATAACCGTGTAAGCCAATTTCTTAAAATATCTCTATGCAGGGGCCTCCCTGGTGGCACAAGGGGTTAGGACGCAGCACTACGAAGCTATCCACAGCCACTGTAGCATGAGTTTGATCCCCAGCTAGGGAGGTGACCCACATGGCGCAGCAGACCTCTCCTGTCTCACCTGCTGCTCCCCTCAGCAGTGTATTTCAGTCAATCTGCCTGTTCTGTTCCCCACTCTGTCTCTGGTGAATCCTCTCACCCCCCACACCTCTGGCCTGCACCCCAGTTCTTGTATACATAAATCTTTAAAAAAAATATGTACGTATGTATGCACACACACACATACACGGTAAGCTACATACACATACATCATATTGGCTCTGCTTTTCTAGAGAATTCTGACAAACACACGTACCCCCCACCCCATCAAAGCAAAAGAAAAAACACAAGTTGTGTACAAAACCTTCTAGGTGTGCTCTCCAGAGCAGGGGGAGCTGTTAAAGTTTGTGAAGAGATGAAGCACAGGTCCAATTGATGTACCTTAGTTACACAATGATCTCTGGGGGCAGCTGACCCCAACAAGTCAAGGGCCCAGAGGGTTTTAAAGCTCTTGGGTTTTATAGAAACTGGTCCCTCTAGGTAGAATTTGTGGAAAATGGAGAAACTTTTAAAATGAACATTATCTAAAATGAACATTATTTAAAATGAAATTTGAAATTTAAAACCATTATTTTAGGGCCTCCCCGGTGGCGCAGCGGTTGAGCGCTGGCTTGCGAAGCTGCCCGCGGCCTCTGCGGCACCGGTTCGATCCCCGGCTGCTCCCCGGCCACCGGAGGAGGGTCCCACATGGCGCACAGACCTCTCCTGCCGCCCACTGATCCCCTCAGCAGTGTACTTCGGTCCTTCTGCCTGCTCTGCTCCCCACTCTGGCTCTGGTGAATTCTCTCACCCTCCCGTGCTTCTGACTGTACCCATGCATGTATAAACAAAACAAACAAACAAACAAATAAATAAATAAAACATGCCTCTATAAAAAAAAATAAATAAAACCATTATTTTAAATGTATATCAAGCTTTAGACAGGGGCCTAAATATGAGGCAAGTCCTCGTCACCACATCTGAAGAGAAACTGTGGTACTTCAGAGCCAAGTGTACCTTTTTCTGGGAAGACATTCAAGGATGAATCAATCCCATTCCGCTGTTCTGGCTAGGTCAAGATGGGCACATGGAACGGTCTTATCATCTCTGGGCAAAGAATTCCCCAAATAGTGTGCTGGGAAGGATGAAAATAGGACCTGATGAGTTTGGCTAGTGGAGTACCTGAGTTATCAATACAAATCACAAAGATGCTGGGTTCAGGGACAACTGTTAGCATCCACCTGTCTTATCCACAGCTAACAAACCTGAAACCACAGGTCAGGGGCCACTATTTCTGTCCCAGAAGTCAAGCCTGGAGGTGAGACAGTCTGACACAACTAGATGGGAAAGAGCTCAGGTAAATGAGTGCTCGGGGGTTTCTGCTGAACAACACAAATGCACACCAGGCTCAGGTCAACACAGAGGGAAAAGAACACTTCCAGATTTTCTTCAGACCATGTTTCTCAGAGGTGTTTGACACAAAGAAGTTCATATAGATGCAAATCTCATCCCTGGAATGCTCTGCAGTCTTCCCATTAGATCACCAGAAATCAGGTCAAGAGCTGTCTATGTAATACGCGACTGTGGGTTCCCCACTGGTTCCTGCAGAGCTGCTCTGGCTAGCAGCCACAGGCTCTTGAGATATAAGGTGCAAAAGAGGACAAATAATAAAATGGCAGGTGTAAATCCTACCATATATTCAAATGTAACAATTCAAAAATACAAATAGGGTAAAACTAAAAGTCTGGGGAAAAATACATCATGCAAAGAGTAATGAGAAATGGCTATACTAATTTTGGAAAAATAGACTTGACAAAAAATGTTCCAAGAAACATGACAAAAGGGTCAATTTATCAGCAAAATAACAACAATTATAAACAAATACACCTAATAATAGATTCATAATATATGAAGCTGCAGAGGGTAATATCTTCTATGTACAAAATCCTAATGATTCTACCAAAAAACTCCTAAAGCTGATAAACAACCTATAGAATACTAAAGGAACACATAAAAATCCGTTGCATTCCTAAACATTAGAAATGAACAATCCAAAAGGGATATTTAAATAAAAATTCCAGGCCTCCCTGGTGGCGCAGTGGTTGAGCGCTGGGCTGTGAAGCTGCCCGCAGCCTCTGCAGCGCCAGTTCAATCCCTGGCCGCTGGCGAGGGTCCCACATGGTGCGCAGACCTCTCCTAACGTGCCCACTGCTCCCCTCAGTAGTGTGTTTAGTCGATCTGCCTGTTCTGCTCCCTTCTCTGTCTCTGGTGAATTCTCTCACCTTCCCGTGCTTCTGACTGTACCCAGTGCTTATATAAATAAATAAATAAATTTTTTTTTTAAACATTTAAAAAAAATTCCACTTACAATGTCATAAGAAAAAAAAAATTTAAGAATTTAATCAAGAAGGAAAAAGAGGGCCTCCGTGGTGGCGCAAGGGGTTAAGACACAACCTATGAAACAATCTGCAGCCACTGCAGCACGAGTTCAATCCCTGGCTGACCAGCGAGCTACCCACATGGCGCAGCAGACCTTTCCTGTCATGCCCGCTGCTCCCCACAGCAGTGTTTTCAATCTGCCTGCTCCCTGTCTCTGGTGAATCCTCTCACCCCCTCACACCTCTGGCCTGTACCCCAGTTCTTGTATGTATAAATAAATAAAATCTTCTTAAAAATTAAAAAAAAACTAAACCCAAGGGTTAAAGCTATAAAACTTATAGAGGAAAACATATGGGAACTGTTTCAGGTCACCAGATCTGGCACTGACTTTCTTGGATATGACACCAAATGCACTGGCAACAAAAGAAAAAAATAAACAGGACATCAAAATGTAAATTTTTATGCATCTAAGGACACTATCAGAAGAGCAAAAGACAATCTACAGAATGAAAGAAAATACTTATAAGTCATGTATCTGATAAGGGGTTGATACATACATGCACCAACACACATACATACAAATCTACAACTCAACAACACAAACATGGTTGAAAAATGGACAAAGGACTTGAACAGACATTTCTCCAAAGAAGGTAAACAAACAGCAAATAAATACATGTGCGAGGATGTTCAACCTCACTAATCATTAGGAAAATACAAATCAAACAAGACTCTTCACACTCATTAGAATGGTTATTTTCAAAAATACAGAAAAATAAGAGTTAGTGAAGATGTGGGTATAATGAGACCCTTGTACACTGCTGGTAGGAATTCTGTTGGGGACACTATATGGCAATTCCTCAAAAAATAACAAACATAGAAACATAAAGGTATGACCCAGTAATGCCACTTCTGGGTATATACTCAATAGAATTGAAAACAACGCCTCAAAGACGAGTCCCTAACCCAATGTCCACAGCAGAATTGCTCACAACAGCCAAAAGGCAGAAACAGCCCAAACACCCATCAACAGATGAATGGATAAAGCAAATGTGGTAAATGCATTCAGTGGGACATTATTCAGTCACAAAAATAAGTTAAATTCTGATTCATGCTTCATGGATGAAACTTGAAGACTTTATACAAAGTAAGTCAGATACAAAAGGGCAAATATTGTATGATTCCTCCTACATGAGGTATTTAGAGCTGTCAAATTTGTAGAACTAGGAAGTAGACCAGTGGGTGTTAGGGGTTGGGGAATGAGAGAATAGGGAGATATTGTTTAAGGGGAGCAGACTTTCCAGTTTGGGATGATGAAGAAAAAATGGAGATGAATAGTGGTGATGAGTGCACAGCAATGTAAATGCATTTAATGCTACCAAATGGTACTTTTTTTTTTTTAATAGCTTCCTCTTTAAGAGGCTTTATTTATTTATTTGAAGATTTATTTATTTATTTATTTATTTATACAAGCACTGGGTACAGTCAAAAGCACGGGAGGATGAGAGGATTCACCAGAGCCAGAGCGGGGAGCAGAGCAGGCAGAAAGACCGAAGTACACTGCTAAGGGGAGCAGCGGGTGGCAGGAGAGGTCTGTGCACCATGCGGGACCCTCCTCCGGTGGCCGGGGAGCAGCCGGGGATCGAACTGGCATCCCAGCGGCTTCGGGCAGCTTCGTAACCCAGCGCTCAACCGCTGCGCCACCGGGGAGGCCCTAAGCTGTACTCTTAAAATTGGTTAAAATGATAAATGTTCCATTATTTATATTTTATCATCATGGAAAAAAAATCAGGTAGGGTGATTCCCCTATTGATTTTTGGTTTTAAACATGTTTTTAGCAATTCTAGGTTATTTTCCCTGTTATATAAATTTTTGAATCAGTTTACCTTTTATCTATATAAAAACCCTGCTGAAACTTCTTTAAAAATCAGGGGCCTGGGCCTCCCTGGTGGCGCAGCGGTTGAGCGCTAGGTTGCAGTTCGATCCCCGGTCGTCAGCGAGAGTCCCACATGGTGCACAGACCTCTCCTGCAGCGCCCGCTGCTCCCCTCAGCAGTGTATTTTGTCAGTCTGTCTGTTCTGCTCCCCGCTCTGACTCTGGTGAATTCTCTCACCCTCCTGCGCTTCTGACTGTACCCAGTGCTTGCATAAATAAATAAATCTTTAAAAAAATAAAAATCAGGGGCCTCCCTGGTAGTATAAGGGGTTAAGATGCAACCTATGAAGCTATAGGCAGCCACTGCAGCACGAGTTTGATCCCCAGTCAGGGAGCTACCCACATGGCACAGCAGACCTCTCCTGACTCTCCCGCTGCTCCCCTCAGTGTGCGTCAGTCAATCTGCCTGTTCTGTTCCCCACTGTCTCTGGTGAATACTCTTACCCCCGCACCTCTGGCCTACACCCCAGTTCTTATATGCACAAATAAATGAATCTTTAAAAAAAAAAGACAAGACACTGAAAGTCACACAGTAAGAAGAACAGAGGAAAACACTGTCCACCTGGGGAGCCATGAGCCAGGTCTGGTGGACCAGTAGCTAAGCAAGCTCAGTGTCTTCAAAGAATCCAGGGGAGTGAGGCAGTAGGTATGCGAGGGTCAGATTCCAGGCACTACTGCTGAAGGGAAGGTATTTTTGGCAAGTTTTCTCATTTTTCACTTGAAGTGTGTGGATCAGATAGCTGGATTCAAAGCTGATGATTCTGCCACTTACATGCATGTAAACTTGGTTATGTGCTCATCATCATCATCATCTCTGTTACTTTCCTCAGCTGTAAAGTGGGAATCAAAACTGCACCTGCCTTTGAGGACTGAGAATAAGAAGTAGGTAAAGTACTCTGGAGTTAGCCAACTATAGCCCACCGCCTGTTTCTGCAAATAGTTTGATCAGAACCTGGAGATGACATTTGTCTCTGCTGATCTGGTGTTAACAGCATGGAATGCGACACCAGAGCTGTAAATGTTCACTCTCCGGACCTTTATTGGACCAGCAAACCTGGCTGAGAACAATGTGCAAGTTCACAAGAAATGTTAGGTATGCTTTAAAAAAAATTCACTTTCAGAATGATAAACTTGAGTATGTGCACAAGATATAGATATAAGCATTGGTAATAGTGGTGACAAATGTGAAATAACAATGTCAATTAATAGGAGGCTTATTAAGGGCCTCCCCTGGTGGCACAGCGGTTGAACACTGGGCTGCGAAGCTGCCCACAGCCTCTGCAGCGCCAGTTCCATCCCCGGCCCCCGGCGAGGGTTCCACATGGCACGACAGACCTCTCCTGTCTCGCCTGCTGCTCCCCTCAGCAGTGTATTTTGTCAGTCTGCCTGTTCTGTTCCCTGTTCTAGCTCTGGTGAATTCTCTCACCCTCCGCGCCTCTGACTGTACACAGTGCTTGTATCAATCAATCAATCAATCAATCATCTTAAAAAAAAAGGACTGATTAAATTATGCTACATCTATACTTAGAGAACACTAGATAGCCACTAAAAAGAAAAAGGGAGGGAGGGCCTCCCTGGTGGCGCAGAGGTTGAGCGCTGGGTTGCGAAGCTGCCCGCAGGCTCAGCAGCTCTGGTTCGATCCCCAGCTGCTCCCCGGCCACCGGGTGAGGGTCCCACATGGTGCGCAGACCTCTCCTGCCGCCCGCTGCTCCCCTCAGCAGTGTACTTCGGTCCTTCTGCCTGCTCTGCTCCCCACTCTGGCTCTGGTGAATTCTCTCACCCTCCCGTGCTTCTGACTGTACCCAGTGCTTATATACATAA